TTTTCCATTTGGCCAATTCTACTTTTTAAGGAGTTGTTTTCTTTAGTGTACTTATTTTTTTACATTTTGTCAACTGTATTTTTAAATGAATTGTTCAGTTTTTCTTCTACCTCCCTTATTTGACTTTTAAAATCCTTCTTGAGCTCTTCCAAGAAGGTTTTTTTGGGCTTGAGACCAGTTCAAATTCCCCTCTAAGGTTTCAGATGTGGGTATATTAACAATGTTGACCTCTCCTGAATTTGTGTTTTGATCTTCCCTGTCACCAAGATACTTTCTATGGTCATTGTTTTTCTATATTGCTTCTTGCTCATGTTGTTTGCCTTTTTTCTGGCTTTTAAAGTTGATCTCTGCTTCTGGGGCACAGAGGGCACTGTCCCAGGCTTCTTGTGCTAGGGCCTAGGAGCCTGGTTACTGGTTTGCTGAGATGGGGCTTGCTGGGACACCTCCCTTCCTGTACTGGTCCCCTTCAGCCACAGCAAAAGAGACCTTTCCTGTTAATCTCGACCCCAAGCTTAAAGACTGCTGTATCTAGTCCTTCTGCTAACTCTACTATTTCAGGATTTTTTTCCTGGGGCAATATTCTCTGGGTTTTTCAAGGTGAATAAGGGAGAGTGAGAGCTACTTACTGCTTACCCCACCATCTTGGCTCCCCTCAGTCTAAATAGGTGATTTTCAAACGTTCAGTCTGTGGGCTAATAGCTCCAGGAGCAGCGCTGCAGTTGCGGCTGCTGCTATTGCTGTTGATTCAGTCACTTCCAAGGCTTGTTGCTGGTTTGCTGGTGCAGGGGCTGTACTGGCACACCCTACAGCCCTGTGCTGGATTGTACTTCTCGCTCACCTAGTTCCAATAGACTCCTCTCACTGACCTTCCAAGTTGTGTCTGGCATCTATGGGCTAAGAAGATTGGAACCCGCCACTGCTGCTGGTGATTCAGTCCCCCAAAGCCTGCTCTGGCTTTGCTTAGGATGAATCTATGCTGCACCATGACCTAGTATTCCTTGAAAACCCTGGGATTTTTTTTTCAGACAAGCTACTATTTAGCCACATTTCCTCTATAATGTACCTTTGAAACTGATTGTTTTAAACCAAGGGGAAGGCTTTGTATTTATCCTTATTAAATATTATTTTACTAAACCTAGTTCATCATTCTGGCTTGTCAGCATCTTTTTGGATCCTCTTCTCCCATATATTGACTATTCTTCTCAGGTTTAAACTATCCATAAACTTAATAAGCATATCTATGCCTTCATACAAGCCATTGATTAAAAAAAAGTTAACCAACCCAGGATAAGTTTCTGGGATACTCCATTCAAATATTCTCCCTAAGCTGTCATGAAAGTATTCCTGAGTAGACCTTAGGAATTTTGATTCTAGTTCTAGTCTAAATCTCTCCATCTTTTCTACAAGGACAACATTAGAGATGCTAATCTCTATACAATCATCTAGTCTAAATCTCTCCATCTTTTCTACAAAGACAACATTAGAGATGCTATCAAATGCTTTACTCAAGTTTAGGGAAACTATGTCTATAGCTTTCCCTTGTTTTACTGGTCTAATGACTGTATTAAAAAAGGAAATAAGATTAGACTGGCATAATCTGTTGATTATGAAACAATACTGGCTTTTAGCAATCATCATTTTCCTTTCTAGATTTTCAGAAACTATTCTTTTAATAAAACATTCTGCAAATTCACCGATCATCACTGACGTCATCACTGGCTTTGAATTTTCAGACTCCATACACACCCTTTTTCTGAAAATTAGAACATTTGTCCTTTTCCTCTTCCATTCCTGTGACATCTCTCCCGATCTTCACAAGTTTCCGATCATCACGGACATGAGCTCAGAAATCATATCTGCCCCAGTCTTTCAGTTCCATGGGAGGAAGTTCAGCGTGGCCTTGCTCTTTTACCACCTTCACCTTATTTTGGGTTTCATCTCCTTTTTTTTAAACATTTTCTCACGTCCTTTCTCTTTTTGTTATTGCTCTGTTCATTTTAGGCTAAGCATAATTCATACTGACAGGAACCAAAATAAGTAAAATTAATAAAAGTTGAGCAGTTCTTCCATCTCTCCATCAGCCATTCTCATCCAGTCAATCGTACTTTGATTTAGCTTTTTTTTTTAATATACTTGTAAAAATGTAACACCTTCATCCACTCAGTGGACAGTACCCTAAAGGACAGCCCTGTGATTGTGCTGTCCTTTACAGGATTGTTTTTGCTTATTTCTAAAATCTTGCTCCTAAATAAAAAGCTCGTTTATTCTGATGTATTCTAAAAGCAGCTGGGTGGCACAGTGGGTAGAGAGTGGATCCTAGAGTCAAGAAGATATGAGTTCAACTCCTACCTCACAAAGGTACTTCTTACGTGACTCTGTCCAAGTGACTTCTCTCAACCTCAGGTTTTTATTTGTAAAATGAGGGCAATAGTATCTACCCCACAAGGTTGTTGTGAGGATCAAATGATATAACATATATAAAGCACTCTGTCATATAAATGCTAGCTGCTATTATTGTCTGGGCAGCTGGTGGTGCAGTGGATAAAGTGCCAGGCCTGGAGTCAGGAAGACTCATCTTCCCGAGTTCAAATCTGGCCTCAGACGCTTACTAGCTGTGTGATCCTAAGCAAGTTACCAAACCCTGTTTCCCTCAGTTTCCTCATCTGTAAAATGAGCTGGAGAAGGAAATGGCAAACCACTCCAGTATCTTTGCCAAGAAAACCACAAATGGGGTCATAGAAAAGTTGGGAAGAGTTGAACAAAACTGAAAAAATGATTGAACAACAATTATTATAGTCTACCCTAATCTCTGATGTCTGATTCTCTGTTTGCTAATTACTTTGATTTTTTAAAAAAGGTTTAATAGCTATTCATGATTGTTTTCTGAGTTACCAGTGTTTAAATAATTAGGGAAAGTGGCAAAGATGTTAGGAGCCCCCAAAGTATGTTATGTCTAGACCAGAGGTGTCAAATCCAGTTTAAAATGTAATTGGTCAAAACGTTTAACAAAATAAGTAAAAATAATACAAGATAGACAATCTTAATTTATAGATTGCTAAGCCATATGCGGCCAATAGGGATCTGTTTCTATTTGAGTTTTTCACCGCTGGTCTAGATTGCCAATATCTGACATGGGATGGATAAATGTAATTCCAGCTCAATATTCCTCCAACCCTTCATCTATTTACAAAGGCAGTATCCAAATGGAGAAGGGTGGACCAAATCCTAGATCAAATATCTATTCATGTTATTGGAAAGCCAAGCAAACAGGGTGTCCCAAAAGTCATAGTGCCATTTAAAGCTACTACACTTGAGCTATAATATCTATAAACCAGCTAACAATTATATAAATATCTAACAGAATCAATAAATTAAGTTAAAAGGGGCAGCTAGGTGGTACAGTGAATAGAGTGTCAGGCCTAAAGTCAGGAAGAACTGAGTTCAAATCTGGCTTCAGACACTAGCTGTATGACCTTCAGCAAGTCACTTATCCCACTTGCCTCCAAAAATTAATAAATTTTAAGTCTCTCCTGGAGTCTTCTTCCACAATCCAAAACTTGGTTATCAGCCCTTCCTTTGAAGTATACATAGATCAAAGATTTTACAGCTGGAATATAACTCAAAGGTCACTTAGTCCAATGCCCTCATTTTACTTGAGAAAATATTGTCTATTGAGAGGACGCCAATCAACTGGGGAATGGCTGTACAAAGTGTGGTATATGACTGTAACGGAATACTATTGTGCTATAAGAAATGATGAGCAGGCAGACTTCAGAAAAACCTGGAAAGACTTATATGGTCTGATGCTGAGTGAAGTGAGCAGAACCAAGAAAACGTTGTACACAATAACAGCCATGTTGTACTATGACTAATATTGATAAACTTAACCCTTCCCAGCAATACAAGGATCTAAGACATCTCCAGAGGCCTCGTGATAGAAAATGCTATCCACATCCAAAGAACTATGGAGTTCAAGTGCAGATCGAAGCATACTATTTGCTGTTTTTTTTTCTTGTTGTTTTTTGTTTCCTCTTTCTGGTAGCTCCTCCTATTGGTTCTAATTCTTACTTACATCACTAATGTAAAAATATGTTTAATAGGAATGTAAATGTATAGCCTGTATCAGATGGTGTGCCATCTTGGGGAGGGTGGTGGGGAGGGAGGGGGAGAAAAATTTTCAACTCAAAAGCATATGGAAGTGATTGTTGATAAATCAAAATAAATTAATAAAAGAGAGAGAGAAAAAATATTGTCCACCCAATAACCTGTTATTTTAGACTAGGGGTGGGGAACCTGCAGCCTCGAGGCCACATACGGCTCTTGCATTTGTTATCTTTTCATACATGTTTCCTATCTGAACAAACTCTAATCATTACCCACCCTAAAAGAGTCTTTCAGGCTCTTTTAGGGAGATATGTGTGTGATCTGATAAATTAGGTGGCATTATGAATAAAGTATTAAACTTAGAATCAGGAAGCACTGAGGTCAGCTCTGAACTCTTGACACTTACTAGTTGTGTAATCCTAGGCAAGTCACTTAACCTGTCAGTCTCAGTGTTCTCATCTGTAAAATGGGAATGATAGCACCTACCTCACGAGGTTGTTGTGAGAATCAAATGACATAAACAGAGCTCTGTGCAAACATTAAAGTGACTATATATATATATATATATAAATATGTATAATATATGTATATAAATATATGTATACACACACATATATACTATATATACATACACATACATATATACGTTTCTGCTGTTATCCAGAATTAACCTTTAGGAAGCCTTCCCAGACTAACTTCTTTTTGTTTATCCTTTAATCTGTGGCCACCACCTTTTACACACAAGGCCCCATACCCTTATATAGTTTATACAATATTACTTCTCATTTGATGATTACTTTGGAAGTATGCAAATCATTTCATGTATACAGTTTGTCTTCTCAACTCCCTTATAAACACTCCTAATACCCAGGACAAAGTACTATACACAGTAAGCATAAAAAATGCATATAGACTTTATTGATTGGTGTGGGGAAAAAAAACTTTGTAAAACCTCCTGAAGCACTATTATAAATATAAGTTACTTACAGTTAAGATTCATTGATTCATGGACCATTTATTAAATACTTATTAAATTAGGTGATTAAGGGAGATAAAAATGCACTTAATTCATATTCTCATAGGGAAATACAAAATATACAAATTGGCAGTTTGATAAATATCCAGAATTACAGTGCAAAATAGAATATATAAAAACATTAAGACAAGTACAAAGGGCTTTCCGAGGAAAGAAAGATCATTTCTTATTGGAGTTTTAAATAAGGCTTCCTGAAAGAAGTCACAATTTTAGAAAAGCAGTAAGCCTAAAAAATAAATGTAGTAAGTCTTCAAGAGGTGAAAGGAAGGAAGAGAATTGTTTCCCAGAACACTCCAAGCACAGGGAATAGTGAGAGTAAAGATGTGGAGTTTGGCTGTAAGTCTCTCCCAGTGTTAATTTTTACTTTCCCTACCTTCTTGTTGGCCACTTGTGTTGCTGGGACACCACAAAATGATTCAATTTCTTTCAAGTGAAAATGAAATTGGGTAGCTACTCTATCCCACAAAGAGCTCAACACACTTCCAGTAGAGTGCATGTCCTCCTCTACCTGAGCTTTGTAGTTAGGATACCAGTGAGCTTCTGTTTAATCATCTTCCCATCAAATGCTGTAACTCCTATGGCACACTATTACTTTCTACACACTTGCTAATAATTAAGCTACATTTTGTGCTGAAAAAGCCACTAGATACTCTTGGGTCCTTAATTCTCAAGTTGCCTGGTTCCAACTCATTTAGTTCTATCAGAGCCAAGCCATAGTATTAAGAAATGCAGAAGAGCATAGAGAGCCCATAGACATAATCCAACTTTTGATTTAATTTCACCCAGCCTAACAAGTATCCTAAAGTTGAATTTTTTTCTCCAATTAATAAAGAAATTATAGTTGGGGTTCTTATCTGGAAGAGAAATGCAGAAAGTAGTCTCAAACCAGAACTTATATCTGTTCTGGCAGAGAGAAAAAGCAGATGCTAATAGCAAATTGTATGAAGCAACTGTTTAGGTGGTAATTTGGTGACACCATGAAGAGTGACAACACAGTCTGGGCCAAAGAGACATCTTGATACTGAAATAAAACCATTTCCTCTGGTTAATAGCTAGCTGGAAAAGTTATGTTTTTATAGAAAGAGATCAGAGCATAGAGCACTGTCTAGGAACCAGAGGCACTAGAGTACAGGTTCTAGCCTGCTGTAAGGTATCAGGAGAGCAGTAGTTGCCTTGGGGACAAAGGCCATCAGGAGTGAAGGGAAATTCAGCTTAAAAGTAGAAGGGTGCCAAATTGGTCTCACAATTTTGCCCTAGTAGAATATTTTGGCTATCTAGGAAACAGAAAAAAACTACTTCCTTTGTTTCACGCATAGCCACAAATGCTATACTTGTAGGAGAGCCCTAATTCCTTTGTTAAACAAAATCAGAAGGTAAGTGCATTGTTTAGCTACTTCCTGACCACTTGTTTGCCCAGCCCCCTATAGTCTGATGGCTACTACTCACATGTTCTCTTATGAAACTGTTCTTTAAAGTTACCACTGACCTACCTCCTAATTGCCGAACTCAAACTTTTGTCCTCATCATTCCTTGCCTTTATGAAATATCTGAGCCATTCTCTTCCCACCTCTTAAATGTAAAAACTCTCCCTTGCCCCAGCCTCACCCCCTGAACCTCCCTTTCTTGGTTTTATATACTCCCAGGACTATTAACCCCTATGCCAATAATTCAAAAATCTTATCTCCTGTTCTGACCTCTCCTGAGGTCTAGGTCTATACTTCTATCTATCTGCTTAGTGTACAGATCCATGTAGGCATTATAGACCAAATCTAAGGTTGTCAGTGCTGGGAATCAAAACTCATTAAGAGCTGTGTTCCCATAAAATTCACCGTTCTTCCTAATTTCAACCTAATAGCACCATTATTTTCCAACTTTCCAAAGGCTGGAATCTTGTGGATCATTTTTGACTCCCCAGACCTTCCACATCAGTTGTCAAGTTTTAGGTATCCTACCTCTGCCATCTCTTGAATGTATCAATACTGTCACCACCTAAGTTCATGCCTGTTGCACTTCAGTCTAACCTTTTAAACTGACCTCTAAACTTGTCTCTCTCTGTCCTAATTTAGAGAACTGTTAGTCAGCTTCCTAATGTACCAGGCATACTACTGTGCTCATATCTCTCCCTTGCTCAAAATTAATAGTTTCTCATTTTTTTCTGGACTGGAACCCAGATTCCTTAGCCAAGCATTTAAGACTTATTGGTCTTATTCATATAATCCTCCTTGAGGAACCCGAAGAAAGGAGATAATTCACTGGCCCTTGAATTTTTTCCCGCCTTTCTGTATGTGTTCTTGCAGGTTTCTGTAGCTGGAATGCTAACTGGCTATATGTGACTTTGAATTCTTCCTTCTGTTTCCTCATTTATAAAATGAGGGATTACATTGAGTGAACTCCAAGTTCTTTCCTGGCTCTAACAATGCTGTTCTATATTCTACTGTGCATTTATATCCCATATCCCCCTACCACACCGAATGCCCTTTGACAGTAGGAACTTCTTTTATTTGTCTCTCTGACAACACCTGACAGATCCTTTGCACACAGTGGCACTTAATGTGTTTAAAAAGAAAACATTGCTCCCTGTCTTAACTGTTGAAGATCCTGAGCACAATTTACTAATATACAACTAGTATAACATCCATCCATTCTTTACTGTCTAAGAAGCCTGTATACCTTTTGTTATCATCATACTTACACATTCTTATGGCCTAAACTCTTGTTCCCCACCCAGTCAAGTGTCAGCACAGAAAGGCAGAAACATTTCTGTCTAACTGTCTTTTTATTCCCACATAGTACTAAATCTGTAATACACACTGGTCTTGACCACAAAGAGCCTCAGAAGTCATAGGATGGCAGGGTGAGGCCTCAGGGAATGCATAAGTAGTCTTCTCAAAATATTAGCAGCAGCTTTAGTGTAAAGTGGACTTAATCCATAAACAAGTCTACTGGAGGTGGAATGAAGGATGTTGGGATGTTGGCTGTGAGTAGGAGCTACAATGGAATGATCCAGTTTACCCATGGTGGGAAGGGACCAGTGGAATAAAAGAGAATTAAGGTACCATTAGGAAGGGCCTGAAAGGATAAGTAGTAATTCCAAGGAGGTGGAATACCAATGTTTCTTACTTCTCTACCAACCTCAGGGCAGAAAGCTAAATGGCTCAAACAAGGAGGCAAAGCTGGCCACTGTCTGGAATACAAAGTGGGCAGCGGGGAAAGGAGAGGCCAGGCAGCTGGTGGGTCAAAAAGTCTTCTCAGAAGGTGGCTGCATGTTTTCCACAAGAGTACAGACAAGTCGCTCCAACTTCTCTGCAGCCAAGTTCCCAGCCACCAATACCTCTTCATGATTGGCCGTCTCCAGGCTTTCGTAATCCAATATCGATTTGTTCGTAATGAGGGAGAATCCAAAAACTCGAATGCCACAATGCCTGGCCACTATCACCTCTGGCACTGTACTCATCCCTGACGTGGAAAGAAAGGAAACTGATGTCAAGACTGCCTTTAGAATGGCCGCCATATCATTCACCTCAGACCTGTACTAACCAGCTCAAGCCCATCTTCCAGCATTCTCCAGGACAGGTCATAGTGGAGTGGAGAAATAGTAGAACCAAACTACCTGGCAAAGCCCCTTGAAATCAAAGGACTGTCTCAACGGATTAGTTCTAGGATTTAGGATTTCCTTAGAAAGAAGGAAACTTGGGCGGCAGCTAAGTGGCACAATGGATAGAACACTGGCCCTGGAGTCAGGAGGATGTGAGTTCAAATCTGGTCTCAGACTAGATACTTGATACTTACTAGCTGTGTGACCCTGGGCAAGTCACTTAACCCTAATTGCCTCACCAAAAAAAAAAAAAAGAGCTCTCCTTTGGAATTTTTGGTATAAAATGGTTGACCTGTAATGGCCAGAAGAGCAGATATTAATTAAACCAGTAGTAAATCATTAGCACTGATTTTAACATTTAAAATTTAGTTGAATAGAAAACATTTAAGAGATATTGTGTTATTTCCCTAAAAATCATTCATCTAAGTTAATAACTAATCTAAATTTAATCATTTCAGTTTGGTCTACTCCCTTTAAACCCTTCAGGATTGTGAATTCCCATCTCCTCCTTAGGCCTCTAAGCTGTAATTCTGCCAGGGCTCCCCTTCTTACCAACAGCATCAGCCCCTAGTTTCTGCAGAAACTGACACTCCGCAATGGTTTCAAAGTTGGGCCCTCCCACCATAACATAGGTTCCTTCCTGCAGTGGTCTTTCCTGTTCCATTTGCTTCCATATGTGATGGGCCTTCTGTCTCAAAATCCTGTCGTAGGCATTAGACATGGGAGGAAACCTTTCTCCAAACCTGAAGCAAAGAATGAGAATTCCTCTGACCACCAAGTGCACAGAATCAATTTTAGCTCCATCCTCTATGAATAAAGTCCATATACCTGTCATCATTTGGGCCTCTGAGTGGATTTTGGCCACTGAGGCCTGCCAAGTTGATATGATCTCGGATCAGCATAACATCCCCAACTTTATATTCAGGGTTCAACCCACCAGCAGCATTGGTGACAATTAAGGTGTGCACATCCATAAGTCGGAAAACCCTCACAGGGAATGTTACCTGAGGAGTCAAAAGGATAAATGTCAGGCACTCAGGAATTCCACAAAAGCCACAAGAAAGAGATGGGGAGAAAGAGGTCTAATCATGTTATCACCTTGCCATATTATTCCCCTTCAACTTTAGATACATTCTTCTCCAGCCACCCCCTAAAATCCAGATATAAAGGTACAAAGCCTCCCTAGTAGCATCAGTCCTCTTGCCTATCTAGTCTCTCAAATGTACAGATCCTCATCATGCCAATATTTACATGCCACAGATCTCTCATAGCTACAGTAATGGGCCAGAGACTCTGATGATTACATGGCTAAGGAAACAGGTATTGGATAATATCTAGAAAGGAAGGGAAAGGTGAGTGGATGATTCATGAGGTTAGTACTAATGACTAAAATCTCTGCCTTTCTAATAGGAACTACCCACCTGTGTCTAGGCATCAGACTCACCTTCCAGAGTGGGTAGCCTTCATATGGGTGGAATCGGCCCTGCATCATCACACAGCACTTGTCACGTAAGTATCCAAATACCAACCGCCCTGCATGTCCTGGTACTATACGGGAAAAGGAAACTAAGATTATTCAACAGGAGTTGTTTCTCATTCTCTGGGCCTCTGAAGGGACAGGAACTGAATGGTTCTTTGGGGTCTATGGCCACCCCCAGGGAAAATGAAAATATGATCTACCTACTTCACATCTTCCAGGATAACACCCCATAATAGAAAAAAGAAATGTCTCTGGTGTTCTCTTTTTGGAATCTGAGAATGGAATTATACTGGTCCTCAGCTATCCAGCTGCCTAGTCTCCCAACCAAGAAGCCTCAGGGGCCTAGAAAGGGACAAATGAGGACAGATTAAAAAAGGGCAGAGAATGGCCTATTAGTAAGAGGAAGATAGGACAAAGGACTAGTTTTCTGGTCCTACCTCATATAATAACTATTAGTCAGTTTCTTAATTGTCATTTCGAGAAAGAGTGGCCAACCTAACCTCTCCAGAATTAATAAATAGCTTAGGAGATGGGGTACACTCAAAAAGAATCAGAAGCAGGAGTGCGGAGCTTCTACTTGGGTGTGGGGATTGAAAGAAAGGTAGGTTAGTGGGTAATATAGACATGAAGGGAAAAAAGCATCAACAAACCTGTTTTTTTAATTCAGAGGGAAAAAAGTACAGAAGGAGACATAAGGGCAATTTTGTTACTAATTTGTCAAATTTAGTATATATCTTTTAAAAAATTGCATATATTTTCTAATTCTCTTTCATGACCCTCTTGGTATGCTGAAATATCTGTATTTGATGATGATTGTTAAGTTCACAAGAAAAGAATTTTTTTTAAAGTGGGATAAGGACATTTAAAAAAAATCAGCACTAAGAATATACAGCCAGTACCCAGGTGGGGCAAAAGTGAATAGATAACCACCAGTGGTATCCTCACAAAGAGAATATTATGGGAGTAGATGGGACCCAACTTCATTGTCTCTTGGGAATTGGGCCTTCTGTCTATATTGGTTGTAGGGCACTTTTTCCATGCCTTCCTGAATATCTGTTGTTTCTCTTCCCACCACTTCTCTGGACTCCTCTACTTTAAAGAGTTTAGAAAATGTTCCTTAATTAAAGCCTTGGATTCTCCAAGGGAAAAAGGAGATAGGAATCTAAGAAATTAATAAAAACCAAAAACACCCTACACTTCTTCTTTATCCTACTAATTATAATTCTCTGCACCTCCAACTTCTTGCCAGGCAATCTGGACAGCTAGACAACTGAAGACCAGAATGAGCTCATTCTCATTTCCCAGAAAGACAACATGAGAGAGACTCCATCCTACTTACCAAACATCTACAGTACTCTGCCCAAGTCAGAGGGTCAGTCAGATTCTGGTCTTGTACATACATGTGCTGCCCGTATTTGCATTTATCCGTTTGTATGCTTTCACAAACATATATATGATATAAAAGTTCATATACTTTTAAATAGCACATATATATTTTTATGTACATACACATTTAATAGCTTCAATAATTTAAAGCTGAACTAAGACTTTTGGAATGCCCTAAACATTAGGGATATATAAAAAAGCTGCATGCCTCCAGGCCCTATGACTACTGAAGTTAAGGAAAGTGGCAGGGCCAGGCTGGAGTGAATTATAAGGGAAGGAGAGAATTTAGGACCATGAGTTATACTGGCATAAGCAAGAAGTCAAATATAAACTAATACAGACCAGTCTATTCCATAAAACATGAAAGACATTCACATATCCTGTACGTACCTTGGTGGAAATGTTTTCTGACACCTGGGAGTTCTATCAAACCACCCTGAAAGCCTAGCAGTGGTCTCTCCTAATTTTGATGGGTTTTTGTCACCTCTTGAGGCCTTTTCCTACTAGAAGACAATAGCTTTTTAATACTGGGGCAAATACTGGGACTACAAGGATTTGCCTCTAGTTATGAAAACATTTTTTTCTTAGGCCTTTCTTCACGTCCCACCTAGGTTCCCAGACCAACTTCTCTTCTCCCCAAATCTGCCAACATCATCCCTGTGAGTACCTGTGCTTTGAGGAAAGTTGGGTATATCATTGTAGTCAAAGGCCTGGAATTGGGTCAGTTTATTCGCCAACCCCCCCAATCCAGAACCACAGATCACTGCAATTTCAGGTCGATATTTAGTATGGGATAAAAGCCACTCAGCAGTTTTCTTATAATCCTCATACTTGAATCTAGGAAAGAGAAAAGACTCATTAAATAAACTGAAAGAGGTGACTAAAACTAAAGAAGGGAAAGGCTAATATCCCCAGAATCAAGAAATCAATGAAAACTATTCTTAACAGATGGATAATGGGGAGATGGGGAATAGGGAGGGATGGGCAACAGAGTCACATCTCCTCCACTGGTCTCCCCTCCAGTTACTCAGAATGCCTATGCCTCTTCTTCCTTAGAGGCTCCAGAGGAAGATAGCTTTTATCTTGGGGTTAGGAATTGAGAGTTTTGGCATTAGAGACCAGAGCTTTTGTCAAGTGACTCAGAGAGGTTACAGTGATTTAGAGTACACAGAGGTTAAGAGCCCCAGGCCAAGGGTTGTGGCTCCTAGATGTAGTGATCTTCAGCAAATCACACAAATTCTGTCTCATTTTCCTCAGTTGTTGTTGTCATTTTTCAGTTGTGTCTGTCCAGACCTCTGTGACCCCATTTGGTATTTTCGTGGCAGAGATACCAGGATGGTCTGACATTTCCTTCTCCAGCTCATTTGGCAGATAAGGAAACTGAGGGAAACAGGGTTAAGTGACTTGCTCAGGGTCACACAACTAGGAAGTGTTAGAGGTCAGATTTGAGCTCATGAAAATGAATGAGTCTTCCTGACTCCATGCTCATTGGTCTGTCCACTGGGCCACCTACCTGCCCCTTTCTTCACTTCCAAGAGTTGTAATACAATCTGCCATAATTCAGGCAGAAGCCTGTGGAGAGTAAATTTATGTGAAAGTGTTTTTCAAAGCACTAAACAGATTTTTTAAATTCACTTGTGTCCCCCAATTCTTTCTCCTTTTCTTTCCTTAAAATCACCAACAAGCCAGATTTGCATTCCTCCCTGGAAGAGGAGCCCCCTTTTAGCTAAAGTTAACATTAAGAAACACTGCCCACTACCGCAAAAAAAAAGAAAAAGAAATTCCCAGTCAAGCCACTTAACTTCTCTGGGCCTCAGTTTCCTCTTTTGCAAAATGGGGAGAGAGCTCTGAGGTCCCTGCCAGCTCTAGATTTAGGATCTTATGACCTCTCAGCAAAGAGGCAACCTCAGGTCTTCTCTATAGTTTTAGGGACTAATCTGAAGGCAGTAGCAATTTAGAAGCCTTCAGTCTCTCAGTTCCAAATTTTCTCCCTCTCAGCTTCTCTCCATGCCAGGTTAGAAGGTGCAGAGATGAAAAAGAAGAGGGACCACTGTTCTAGCAGCAACGACTGCCTCCAGAGGATTATCTGCCTCAAAAATAGAAACTGGGAAACTGGAGCAACAGATTCCTGATCCCAATAGCCTTCCTTACAGACTGTAAGGAATGGCAGGAAGGGTAGGAGTAGTCAATAGCATTGCTGAAGCCCTGAAGTCAGAAGAAGTCATGGAGTGGTACAGGGAAGAGGCAATCAGGAAAGGGGAAAAAAAGAAAAAGAAAGATCTGTACCTCAAAAGAGATGTGAGGAAGAAAATGGTGGAGGGCTTTGAATAAGCCTCCACATCCAAAAGTCTCTTTCCCAAAAGCCTCTGGCTGAATAATAGTATCATAAATTCAAGGCTGGAAAAAAACTTAAATTTTAAATTGAGGAAACCGAGGCCCAGAGAAACTAAGTGACTTGCACCTAGAGTCTCAACAGTAGCAAGAAATTAGCAGAGCTAGGACATGGACCAGATGTCCTCCAACCAAATGCAGCCTTCATTCCCTGCTCTCTATTCATCACCAGAGTCACTTGGCAAGAACTCTGGACCCCAAAGTCCAAACTGTCATTTCCTTCTCCAAGACAAAGCCATCCTGCTAAGCAGTCTCAAAGGAAGGAAAGAAATATAGATATTCAAATTAAGTGGAGTGTAGAAAAACCGGAAGAAACGTGACTCTGTGCTGCCCACTCCCCACCTGTACCTCTCAGTCTGTCCCATCCACCAGTAAACGAGCTGCCTTCCAGGATTCCCTAACCCAGCTTCCAGGTGTCCGAGAGATCCATTTCCTGTTCCAGGAAGCCCAGAGTCCTGGCCTCCCTCCTTCTGCCAGAGGGCCCCTAGACTCTCAAATACAGAGAGGTCCTAGACCCTCCAGAAAACCTCTCCAGCTATTGGTCTATTCCGAGGGATACATCAAAATCAGATAGAGAAGAAGCCTGGAGCCTCTAACAAGGGAACAATGATCCCAGTCTTTGGACACAGCAAATGCCCCAGCACTTATTCCTTTCCCAGAGATGTGATCTCCTGATCTCAGAACACACAAGGTCATGATGGTGGGAAGGGTGTGTGGATAGATGTGCCTGGGTACAGGAGCAGGTAATGTTACACAGTTCCGAACAGTAATCCTACTCCTAATTTGAACAGGAACTGACCCCAAATTTAAACTTCCTTCATCTCAATGCCTGCACTTTGTCTCCCTGCCCTATCTCGGAGTCTGGTCTCAACACCCACATGTCCCCACCCCCACCTCCCCATCCTGGAGAGAGAGGCGGGAACACAGAGCCCCACAGTGCCAGGCCTCAGTCTTTTGCAATGCACCCTCTATCCTCACCTGGTCCCTCTCTGCCCCTAGGCTTCCTAGATCACTTTCACCCAGCCTTCCAAGTCTCCCTGATGTCTATTTCTCCTCCCCTGCCTCCCTGAGGGCCTTTAGGCCTGACTCACTGATTCTCCATGGCTCCCTCGTGGTATTCGCCTCCTCTCTGCCTCGGTCTACTTCTCTCCGCTCCGCTCTGCTGCGCTGAGCTCTGAATGCCCCAGTCAGCAAGGACTTGCACATAATTCACTCGCTCTTGGCTTTATGCCCCAGCCTGTAAGGTCCCCAGCCAATGGCAGTTGTAAACGCAAGAACTAGCCCGTCTCCTTGGAGACCAAGCTTGATTCAATCACTAAGCCAAGTATAAGGTGGAGTGTGTGTTTGTTTGGGAGGGGAGGGAGAAAAGAGGGAGGAGACTCTGAAAGAAATAATAAATGAATTAACTTTCCCGGGAGATGATTAAAGAGATATAAACCACACTTCCTTTTTTTTGCCCTGGGGCATGAAATCTGGCAGCCCGCTTCCCCTCTCTGCCACTGTAATCTGAGTGGAGAAAGTTTATAGTTCTATCACGAGCTCATTTCTGAGATTTGAAGGTCAAAAGAGAGTTGGGCCTAGGTAGGTGGCCTTTGCCTGGTTAGCACACAGGAGAGGCCAATATTCCCTATGGGATCTGTGATCAGAGTTCAGCTTCAACTCCCAGACCACATTCAGCCCCTCTGGAACATCACAAATCACCCCATCTTCTGTCACTGACTTACCTGAGTGACTCAGGGCAAGTAATTTTCATTGGATGCACCTAAATTCCTTCATTTGTAAATCAGAAGGGGGGATCGCATTAAACGGCCTCACGGGTCCCTTTCACCTCTAAATCATAATTAGCCCTGTGAGAGTGGTCCATGATTTAAATGCTTTTTATTAGCTATTTATTATTTATTAGCTAGCTGCTAAACACTAGGCTAAGTAACTGAGACAAAAACAAGGTCCTTACTCTCAAATGATTCATAATCTAATGGGAGACACTGCTATATATATTCAAGATATACATAATGTACATGAAAGATAATCTCAGAGAGCAGGCACTAGAATATGGATGGAGGATGGGGGGAGGGAGGGCATGAATTGAAGTGAGATTACAGGCAAGGAGGTATCTCAGAAGGCTGTTGCAGTAGTATTGGTGAGGAGATGAGGCCCTGTACCCAGATAGTGACTGAATAAGTGAAGAGAAGGGGGCATATAAGAGAGAGTTTGTGAAGGTAGAGAAGACAAGACGACAACAGATTGGATATATGAGATGAGCACAAGTAATCCCGGCTGGGAAGGGGAAGTGTGTGAGAGTAAAGATACTGAGTCTTACTTTGGCAATGTGGAGTTTGAGATGTGCAGAAAGCATTTGGCAGTGCAGGGCTGGAGCTCAGGAGAGAGACTAGGGTTGGATATATTGACCTGGGAATTACCTTCATAGACATAATAATTAAATCCATGGGAGCTGAGATCACCAAGTGAGAGAGTACAGTGGGAAAGTCGAAAAGAGCCCAGGATGGAGCCTTAGGAGACACCCATAGTTAGTGGTTAGTAGGTGTGACCTGGATAAAGATCCAGCAAAGAAGACTGAGAATGAGGCAAGAGCAATTCTAGGAGAGATAGCAAAGGAAAAAAAATCCCACAAAGCAGACTATCCCACACAACATTCTGCAACTATGACAACATGCATAAAGGATACAAAAAAAAATGCATAGGGGGTTGTGGGGGTGGGGGAGACTGAGGATGTAGGACTTGGGACACCTGGGATCCATATCTGGCCTATGAAGGGTGAAATCAGGAAAACAGAGAGAGGTCTAGAAGCCAGGTTGTCTGAATTCCTTACCAGAACATGAAACATGTAAAACATGTAATGGTAGGAAGCATGTGTGAATGGAAAGAAGGAAATATCTTAAATTTTCAGGGGTGGGGAACCTACAGCCTCGAGGCCACATGCGGCCTTCTAGGTCCTTAAGTGTGGCCCTTTGACTGAATCCAAACTTCACAGAACGAATCCCCTTAATAAAAAGATTTGTTCTGTAAAACTTGGAATCAATCAAAAGGCTGCACCCAAGGACCTAGAAGGCCACATACGGCCTCGAGGCCGCAGCTTCCCCACCCCTGAATTCCAAAATACGAAATTTGGGGTCTTAATTCTGATTCTTAATTCCATGGAGAGGGGCATGCCCCAGGGTTAAAGTTCCTTAATTGAAAGTAAAAATGTTATCTGTGCTCTGATATCTTACACCTGTTTAGCTACTCTTTGATTTTCCTGACACCCCTGAAAGAGGACTACCTACCTCCTAGCCTCTAATCTCTCCTCACTCCAATTCATTCCCTCCCCTCCCCATCTCCTATCCCCCATCCCCATTCTAGTGCCTTCTCTCAGAGATTATCTTCCATGTACATTGTATCTTGAACATACATAGCAGTGTCTCCCATTAGATTATTAAGCACTTGAGAATAAGGACTTTGTTTTTGTCTTAGTTGCTTAGCCTAGTCTTCCACTGAACCTCAGCCTCATGCCTATACCCCTTGTTTTTTCCAGCCTCCTCACGAAGAACAATATTTCTCCTTCCTGACCCCAAAATTATACTTTTGCCCTATACCACTACTTACAACCCTGTTTCTATCCCTTTGGTCTCCATACCCATCCTTAACCAGTTCCCCCTTCCTGTCTTCAATTTGTTCATACCTTTATCTCATTTCTATTCTTTTCTTCTTTTGTCTATTCCTATCTTTATGCTAGTCCCTGACTAGGATTGTGTTGGATCATATCTCTATTTTTCCATAGCCTAATTTCTTTATCTATTCACATTCCTCACACTATTTAGCTTATATCAGTCTCTGCCTCCGTCAGTGCAGACATTTGGCTTAGCATGTTGGTAGAAATAGAACACTGAAAAAGTCATTTTAAAGACATTAGGGACATCTCCATTCAGTTCATCACCCAGACTCCTACCAAAAAAAAGGTAGTTAGAAATCACTTCCCTGGGAAGTCTCCTGCTTCTGGCCAGAATTCAGGAACCAAACAATCACTCTCATTAGGGTAATTATGCTTCATTACCTTTTTACAACCCTTTCTTCTTCCTCCAAGGAACAGTCTGCACCACACATTGCTACCCCTCCATTCATAAGACTGAAAAGGAACAAGCAGCAACAGAGAGAAAAGCAAGGTTTTAGTGGTCCAGTATTTCAAAATCAGGGTGAAGAGTCCTCAGAGATCATGGCTTTTAGCCTTATGAGTCATCAACAGAGCTAGAAGTGAGACCCTAGAGTTCTTCAGATTACAGGTTCTAGAGAGGGAATTCCTCCATCCCCTATATCTTGCCACAGGACCCAGATGGCTATGATGGGGTGCTTGGGTGCTTATGTTTGGGTG